ATGTGCGCTAGCGTTAATGATTTCGATTTAACCACTATATATTATATTATTGGCCGAGTCTTGTAATAGGCGACTTCGTCAATGAGGACGGACACGTGCTATGGGACGGGTTTGGACCATGCCTAATTAAACGCACCACTGTTTCCACAAACGACCATGACCGGCCTAGAGACGGATAAGACCCTAGGCCCCGACAATATGACGGGACCAAGAAACCCAGTTCTAAAAATGGTTTTCGGAACAGAGCCTTTGTTACGCGGTCGTGGCACCAGAGGACGTCTCCTATCGTCTTTGTATCCAAATATTTTCACAGAAAAGCGTCCTGGTCCCAATTCCTGTATTTTATTTACTGGTGAATATGGGGAATCAGCAAAGATGGGAAGGCGGGAGAGACTCAGGCTGCGAACAAGATATGTGTTAAAAGAACAGAGAGAAGAGAAGAGAGAGAAGTAAATAGTAACAGAGAGAACACGCGCGCGGAAGAGTAAGAGAGGGGGAGCAGGAGAGAGCAGAGAGGGAGAGAGATGTGAGAAAGGAAAAAGAGAGATAAAAGAGATGAGAGGAGAAAGAAAGAAGAGATAAAGAGAGGAGAGAGAGGAGAGATGAAGAGAGCGGAGGAGAGAGAGGGGAGGGCGAGAGAAACAGAGAGAATAGTAAATGAGAGATGAAAGGGGGAGAGAGAAGCGCGCACGAGAGTGAGAGAGAGAGGGGGAGGGGTAGCGCTGGCCGGCGAGAGAGAGAGAGGGCGGGGGCTGCCCGCGAGCCTATTAGCGCCGAAGTTATTGAGTAGGTTAATGCCACGTGACGGGCACGCACAGCTGGCAGCCGTAACACAGTAGTTGTTATTGCGGCACATGCAGCTACAGGTAACACAGTAGTTGTTATTGCACACACACGACACACACACACACACACACACACACACACACACACACACACACACACACACACACACACACACACACAACACAACACAACACAACTAAACACACGCACACGCACGCACATGCATACATTGATGTTGCGATGGAATGCGGTTAAACACAACATGCGATAGGTGATCGCTGACGTCATTGCTATATATTATTGCATGCTTGTTGTTGCTGCTGCACCGTGGTCGTCACGATATACGTACCTGCTCACGGCGTGTGTACATACACCGGTTATACGTATTCAGACGGATCGACCTTCATACACGACTGGAAGGAAGGGTGCGGCGGATATGCAGCGAGACGTTGAGCGACATGCCATCGTTAGGTGTGGCTGCTGCTGCTGCGGCTTCTGGCGCTGCGCACTTTTGGGTGGGAAGTGGTTTAGAAGTTGGTTTCTGTGTTCGTTAATTCCTTCGATTCGAGGTGAAGGGGGAGGAGGAGGCAGAGTAGGATAAGGGGGAGGAGGAGGAGGAGGGGAAGGAGGAAGAGGAGGACACAAAGAAAGTTGAAGAGGTTAAAGATAAAGGGAAAAGGCACAGAAGTTGAAGACGAAGAAGAAGAAGAAGAAGAAAAAGAAGAAGAAAGAGAAGAAGAAGAAGAAGAAGAAGAAGAAGAAGAAGAAGAAGAAGGCGAAGTAGCGATAGCAGCAGCAGCAGAAGCAGTAGCAGCAGTAGAAGAAGTAGTAACAGTAGTAATCATAATAATACACATAACATTAACTGGCAACATGCTATAATAATAGTGGCAGTCGGGAGAGTGGCCGTGATTGTATAATTGCTATCGATAGGCCATCATTTTAATATTTACCGGAGAGAGCGCGACAGTCCGCACAGCGTCTACGCGCGCACACACGAACCTGTGTTTGCAAACGATTCATCAATCGCATCAATTCGCATCTGTTTGCGTGGTAACGCCACTCCGTGCTATATATTCCTCACACTGACAGGCAATCGAAGCACCTCGCTTCTTGGTTCCGTATAACCGTAACCCACCTTCCAGTGAGCGCACTACCTATACGCTTATATACGAGCGCGCATCATGCGCAGATGATATCCTGCAATCCTGCACGGTATTGTTGTACTCTCAACCGAAGAATAGAGCAATTACGCTTGGAACTAAACTGTTTTGAAGACAACTAACGAAAGCCTGAATTCGACAAATTAACAATCACGATGATCGAAATTTCACGTGACATAGATGGCGCGCTAATCGCGAAACACGCAGAGCCGATTGTAGACAGATGTATCTATATCTAATATATATATATATATATATATATATCACAGAGAAAGAGAGAGAGAGAGAGAGAGCGAGAGAGAAGAGAAAGAGGGGGACGGGGGAGAGAGAGAAAGAGGGAGAGAGAGAGAGATACTTCGAGATTCTCCACTCGGACATTTCACCACTACTGATATAAGCGGCTCTGGGAACACGCACTCACGTAAATGTATACTGTCGGAACTTTTAGCGCACTGGTTTCTTTACACGAACTCGTCAGCGCACGTTGGGCGCTCTGGTGGCGTTGTCACTTGCGGGTGTTCGTGTGGGTATGCGCTCGTGCTGTACTCACGGCCCAGCCCCTATGACACACATGACAGATTTCCAGCGACGTCTCTGTGTGGCGATATTCATGAGAGAACAAGAGAGAGAAGGGGGCAGAGTGAGAGGGGCAGAGAGAAGGGGCAGAGAGAGAGAGAGAGAGAGGAGGGGAGAGAGAGTGAGAGATAGAGAGAGAGAGAGAGAGAGAGAGAGAGAGAGAGAGCGCGGGGAGAGAGAGAGAGAGAGGAGAGAGAGAGAGAGAGAGAGAGAGAGAGAGAGAGAGAGAGAGAGAGAGAGAGAGAGAGAGA